GGGCTGTAGTTTTAAAATGGACTTTATGTTTTGAGGAATGTCATTCCATGCTTTAGTATAAACATAGAAGAAAAACCTCTCTAACAGTTTTTAAAAGTTGGTAATATCAGTTGTCCTTTTGTAACAGATCTAGTTGAATGACCACTTCCAGAATTTGATTTGGGCAGCAATGCACAGAGAGTTCCATAATTGGCACCTTGGAAGATCTGAAAATATAAATTAATACCACTATACAAAACATAATTCTGAAAATAGATAGTGATAAAAGATAATGAGCTAAAGCTTGGTTTGATTGTTGCCAGCGACATGCACTCTTTCAAGGAAATCTAGTTTTTGTTATATGCATCGACTATAACAGAAAATGACAGCCACCTCAACAATAAATCTTTGTTAACTCGCACCTGCACCTAACTCATGCAGGGAATGATGTAACTTCGTCTGACTACATTAATAAGGGGGACATACCCAAGTGACGTAATCCCCGTCTAATCCCATGTTTTAATGCATTAACTCGGCTTGAATCTGCATTCAAACCTGCCTTGAATGTAATATTAACAATCCATTTGAAAAGGTTACCTCTACTTGTGAAGCCACAGATACGTCATAGCAACATTTTAGAGGCTTTGTGTCTGGAGTGATGTCATTTTAAAGAAAGAATAGATGTTTCCTCAGAGTCTGCCTGCCTAACTTCAGAGATTACATCAGGCCATCGCCATGTTTTTTTCTTAACATACCATTTAGTATGTGTTGCAGTCAAAAGTGCAAATGTAAGCCCTACACGGAAAAAAACACGGAAACTTTAAAACTCATAAATATTTAAGGTTTTACGACCGTTCGTGGCTGATTTTGGTGATGAACTTGAAAACAGCTCCTGTGCGTTTGAAATGTATTGATGGAGACATTTTCCTTTACGTTTTTACCCACAGTTCTTTGCCAGGTGAAGACCCACTCACACGCTGAAGATGAGCTCTTCAAGACGCTGTTTTCTGGTTACAACAAGTGGTCCAGACCGGTGCCGAACATCTCCGATGTGGTCATCGTCAAGTTCGGACTGTCCATAGCCCAGCTCATTGATGTGGTGAGGTTTCACATTTTAACTGTTTGACAGAAACGACAACAAACGTAAAAAAAACTTAGAAAAAATAAAACCTTTACTATATTTTACTAAAATTGATAGTAATTCTTTAACTTACCATACTTATCACTGTTAACTATTTTTCCATTATTTTCTGCCTGTCTTTGTTTATCTTTCAGGATGAGAAGAACCAAATGATGACGACTAACGTATGGCTTAAACAAGTAAGAAAAATCCTATAGATTTGTTAGGATTTCTTTAGGCTTTTCTACAGTAAATAGAAATTTGACACACTAATACCTATTTATCAAAGCTCTAAAGAAGCTAATCACGTCTGTTTTGACTCCTTTCCAGGAGTGGAATGACTACAAGCTCCGCTGGAGACCATCTGATTATGACAACGTGACGTCCATCAGAGTCCCATCAGAGCTCATATGGGTACCAGACATTGTGCTTTATAACAAGTAAGAAGATTTACACAGTTTGTTTGGTGATAATTAAAATTTTATAATTTTTATTAATGTTACACTAAATATTTCTTTCGTAAGTTGCAGTTTTTAGGTTCTTAGGTGAATACAAAAGCAGAAATTATTACAGTGATTGTTTATATTTACCTTATACAACCCTATGGATTATTCTATTGGCTTAGTTGTAATACAGCTTATTATACTTTTATATTACACCTTTATTTTCATCTCACCCACACAACAATAAGGTTTTACAGTTAATATCTTCAGGTATCTTCATAAAAAACGTTCTAAATTGTCTGTAATGCGTACCACCATCAAAATGGTTTCATTTATTTTGATATTCAACATCAAGTTTTCAGCTTTATGTTGCTTACTTTGTTTTACTGAAGACAGCACAATTTACGACACCATTTTTAGTGTTTATTTATTAATTTCCTCCTCCCTACTTCAAATAAAAAAATCAATAATTCTTTAATTAATGTTCATACATAGTTTAGCAGATTTTAACAAGAAAATAATTACCCAAGCCTGCTGCCAGTGACGCATTTCATTTCAGTTGTAGAAGTAGTTTAGTTTGTGGAATTTTATTGTAGAGTTTAAGGATTTTGAACTTTAAAAATATAGGCTAGTTTGTGACTGAAATGATTGTTTTTCTAGAGCTGGACACTATTAATGCATAGAATAAAAATCTTGTTTGATTACTGGCTTTGCATTGTGTGAAAGTAGTGCCATCTAGTGGTAAAGAAAGTAAAATCTTGTGTTATTTTAACCAAGTGGTTCCCAAACCTTTGGATGCCATGGCCCCGCAAACAGCAGTAACTTCCGGCCGAGGAACTCCTCTTGCAAACTCACAAACAGAAAAATCTACTTTTAGAATGTTTTTTTTCCCACTTTTATTCACTACTCAATAATTATATTTATTTAGCGTAAGAATTTTATTAATGAACATGTTTTAAACACGAAATTATATTCCCATTGAAAAAAATAACTTTCTAACAAACTGTTAAGAACCAAACAAAACAAATCAAACCTCTCAAATAATATTTGAATATATTATTATACATTATATATAAAATAATGATTGAAAAACAACTGATTTAAAACATTTATTAGATTTTTTTATTAGTGTTGCACATTTTTCTCATCTTCCCGTTTTCATATGAAATCAATGTCACTGTTTTAAACTGTAACTCATGTAAAACATTTGAACTTTATTTGCTTTCTTTCCTGGTACTAGATAATGATCATGTTCGTTTTATAAATGAATAAAGATGATTGCAGATTTTTTTCTGTGTGAAATCAATTAGAAAACTCAAGTAAAGTCATCTTTTGGAGATTAAACAGAGCAGGTTGATTGCCGAGTTTTGCTCCGTTGAGTCTTTGTAATCACAGTCTGTTCGTGAAATGAAAAGAGGAGGCTGATAAAATGATAAGGGCTCCAACAGAAGCTTTCACCTCCAATGTGTTTGAAAAACAAAACACTTTTTTTGCAAAGTCTATTGTATTTTTTTTAACTCTAAACTGGCTTCCATCATGTCTGCGTCTCCAGTGCTGACGGTGAGTTCGCTGTGACCCATATGACGAAGGCTCACCTTTTCTACACGGGCAAAGTCCGCTGGGTCCCGCCGGCCATTTACAAGAGCTCCTGCAGCATCGACGTCACCTTCTTCCCTTTCGATCAGCAGAACTGCAAAATGAAATTTGGCTCCTGGACCTACGACAAGGCCAAGATTGATCTGGAGCGAATCGAAAATACGGTGGATCTCAACAACTACTGGGAGAGTGGGGAATGGGCCATCATCAACGCGGTGGGAACGTACAACACCAAGAAATACGACTGCTGCCATGAGATCTACCCAGACATCACCTACTTCTTCATCATTCGAAGGCTCCCTCTCTTTTACACGATCAACCTCATCATCCCCTGCCTGCTAATCTCCTGCCTCACCGTTCTGGTTTTCTATCTGCCCTCAGATTGTGGCGAGAAGATCACGCTTTGTATCTCCGTGCTGCTGTCCCTTACCGTCTTCCTTCTGCTCATCACTGAGATCATCCCGTCCACATCCCTCGTCATCCCCCTCATCGGCGAGTACCTCCTCTTCACGATGATTTTTGTCACTCTGTCCATCGTCATCACCGTGTTCGTGCTCAACGTGCACCACCGCTCCCCCAGCACGCATAAGATGCCCCGCTGGGTCCACTCCGTGTTCCTCGACTCGATCCCGCGCTGGCTGTTCATGCGCCGGCCCGCGCCCGACGGCCGGCGTCGCAGGCTGTTGCTCCTCCAGCAGGAGGCGGCGGAGGAGCGCCGGCTCCCGCGAACAGCCGGGTGCAAACCCGCCAACTGCATCAGCACCTCGTCCACCTGGTTAAGAGACGGGAACGCGCTCGAAAACCCGGAGCGGAGCTGCTACGAGGATTTGGAGCTCGGGACGCTGGCGACGTATTTCTCCTTTCGCCCCCCGTCGCCGAGACCCTCGGGGTCGACGCCGACGTTGCAGCAAAAGCAAACCCAGAACCAACAAGAGGGGGCTGCGGGGTCCAACAGACAGTCCGCTGGAGGCAGATTTAACTCGGCTCAGAGGTCGGCTAAAAGTGACAGTTCAGCCTCAGAGTCGTTCCAGCTTTCACCGAGTGTGATGCGTGCTTTAGAAGGGGTTCACTACATCGCAGACCACCTGAGAGCTGAGGATGCTGACTTCAGTGTGAGTATCACATCCATCGGATATTACATCTACATCACCAGCACTGCTGTCCTGCAGAGCTTTCAATTTGGTTGATCATCAGCGTAACTGAATACTCTGTCAGCTAGTCTGTAACCTAATTAAATAATTTATCCTTCAATAACTGATAGATAAAATCCCATTTATTCACCTCTGTTATAGGGCTGTCCTGATACTATTTTTTTTCTCAAATGGAGTACGAGTATTTCAGTTTGAGTACTTGTCAATACCAAGAATTGATACCGAGTGATTTTACAAACACAGTCGCCTTCCTCACAGGCCTCTGACTGGTTCAAATCAAGTATACGGCATGATGCAACGTTTTAAAATAAATAAAATTCATAATTTCTTTCAACTTTCAACTGACAAACTAGTCACTTGAAATGTGAACTGTTTCAATAGAGTATTGATAGCAACCACCCAGCAATAATACTGGTATCAGTATCAGTTTTGAGTATCAGAGTATTTTGGCCAGTACTTGTAAAAATGCTGGTATCGAGACACCACAGACATAATGGCTCTCACATCAAAAACAACAAAAAATAGGAAGAATTGAAGTCACCGTTGGTACAGTTTCAGTCAGAGAGAGAAATTCTTGGACTGTCCCACCCAAACTGTGACAGCTGGCAGCTAAAAGGACTGTTTCTTAAAAGATGATTGATAACAACACTTTGTGCCTGTAGGGAATAGTGACAAGTAGCCTGTGATCTAACAGGACAAAATGATGAACCTTACAAATGGTTTCGCAAATCGAATCCTTCACCCGATTAAAAAAGTAATCTTAAAATGATGTATTTGTTTTCCTGATCCCCTCTACGCAGGTGAAAGAGGACTGGAAGTACGTTGCAATGGTGATTGACCGCATCTTCCTTTGGATGTTCATCATTGTGTGCCTGCTTGGGACTATAGGCCTCTTCCTCCCTCCATGGCTGGCTGGCATGATTTAATTATTTTGAAGTGTTTAAAAGTAAAAGGAGTTGGACTGCAACAGTGTTTGGATAAAACAGTACCTCTGTGGCCTAAAACTTCTTTATGTGTCATTACCAACATGATAAACAGAACTATGGTCCTTCAGATTCTCACCTTTTTACTTTTTAGGTTTATTTTCGAGGATTGTTCTGTGCAGCTGAAAGAGCAGCTCTGTAATCTCACATGCAGTTTAGCACATTGAGATATCCAGACTTGTTGCAGCTGTATTCAGTGAAAGATGCATTTCACATGTCCTGCTGCAGCTTCACATAAAAGGCTCCTCAGCTGGTGTTTCATCAGAATGCTAGCATTTGCTAGTTAGCATTATTAGATGTTCACAAACTTTGGAGGAACTACAGTGTATGATATGGTGTTAGCATGCTAATGTTTGGAAATTTGGAAAATATTGTTTCCTGTATCACATCTCATCTGACAATATTCACTTTACCAGTTTTCTTGTTAATTTTTAGGAACATGTGTGGGAAAAACCATTAATTGTACTGCAAGTTCAGGTCACAGTGTATCAGTGTTTGACAGTGTATTAGAAGGATGTCATTTAATTTTACTGTTTCACTGATTTTAACCTTGAAGCAGCTACGCTGATAAATCTGCATTTACTGCTCTGTTTTGGGGGGGGGGGGGGGTCTAACCCAGGTTTTAATTTCTTGTTATCACCTCAACTTGTAGGTTCCGACGTGTCCAGACATTAACTGCAATAACATAAGGGGTGTCTTATCTTTTATTTATGCAAAATAAATATTTATTATCAACCCATCTTAATCATCTGGAACAAATTACTACTGTCAATTTATTGTTATAAATTAAATCAGCTGGATGTTTCTTTCGACCCCTGAAGACCAATCACTTCTTATTCCAGGAGCTTTCTTAATTAAAAAAAAAGAAGTTTGGTCATCTTAGATTAAATATAGGATTATTGCATCAGGGGGAATTGAGAATCTACACCAGCAAACAACTTTGTCACTTTATACAAGGAGCTATGACACTTAAACATCATCCATGTTACCATTAAAGCAAAATCTTGTAATTAAATAGGAAAGTAAAAAGCTTACATTGAGGCAGCGCCTTTTTCTGTATTTTTACTTATTTCTTAATATTACTGTTAACCAATGTACAAAATGAAATAATGTACATAAGGAGTTTTAAGAAGTGGTTACATAGGGTTGGGCAATGTTGGCAAAAAAATCATTACAAACAATTGTGGCTTTTAGACAAAAACGATTATTATGACGATTAATAGATGACAATCGCACTTCATGTTTTTGTCACTAAATCGGTCGCCCTGTTACGAAATGATAATTACAAATCATTAATCAAATTAACTTCTTCATTTTAACATCCACTCCACGTTATTGCTTCCTAGCTCTTATTTTGCTGCAGGGACAGAATGACTGAGTGAATCATGGATACTTGGTTAGCATTAGCTTAGTGTTAGCTCAATGTTAGCATTAGCTTCATGTTCGCATTCATGTAAATGCCACGTTAACCTTGATGTTAGTTTCTTGCCGCAACGACTTGTATAAGTCATTACTCGCAGTAATCATGAAGGGCCAAATATTAATCGGTGAGTTTTACTGCTGAATAATTGCACAAGGTACAATTTTGTACAACCCTAGTTACATCACAACTCCACTTTTAATTTTTCTAATTCATTTAGATAATGACTCCTCTTTACATTTTACCAGCAGCAGAGCTACAAATGTAAACCCTTCTGTCTTTATGTGCACAACATTCTCAGAACATAACTGCCTCAGGATACATCAAGTACAAACAAAGATGTTTAATTTTCTAATCACTGAAACATTGAAAGTTTTTTTTTGGAAATGACCGCCATCTAAATACAAAAACGTGGCATAATTTTGAGTCCTAAACATCGATGTCTGATGTTTACACAGAAGCAGCACGATAAAACTAAACATTCATTTACAAGATGATGGTTGTTTAAAAACCAAAGGTTTGGTTGGGATTAGTTTTACTCCCACAAGAACACCTGACTGAAGGCAGGCACTCATTGAGAGGCTGGTTTAGCCAAATTAGCCCTGACTCGGGCTTGATCCACAGCATCCAGCATGTTCTTGCTGTCCATGGCCAGAGTGTGCGCTGCAGCCAACATCTGTTTCTTGCACTCTTCCTTTAAAGACGTGATGGCGTTCTGCTGGGCCAGACGCATTTTACTGATCAGCTCTGCCATGTCGTTGTTGAGCAGCTTCTGGGTGCCTTCGATCTACAGAGGCAGGAAACATGTTGTGATCTGGAGTTTCTTCCACCAGAAAACTACAGTAAATACTGAAAGGGATAGTTTAGATTATATTTTGAAGTGAGGTTCTGTGGTAAGGTCAGGAAATTCATGGTCGGCTGTTATTCAGGTGATAACTGCCCCTTTTCCACGAGTGTCACTCAGTGTAGTGTCGGTACGTTCAGTGTCGGAACGGGTCAGTTCGGGTGCTTTTCCATTGACGTTCCAGTCCAGTTCCAGTGGGTGTGTTTTGGGCGGTTGGTGGAGGTGGTTTTGGGGTTTTTCGAAAAAAAAAAGTAAATGAGAGATGGCAACACATTTGCCGAATAAGTTCTGAAATTTTAAAAATTTGCTAAAAATTCAAATTAAAATTGAATGGAAACACGATTAATGTCGCTGCTAGAATTGAAAAAATGGTGCCTCAATTTGTTATAAAGGCAGCTTGGAAGCAACCAATGACTCCATCCTCTAACCAATCAGTTACGAACAATGTTCTGACGTTGCAATTTGGTGTCGACTGGGACCGCTTGGAACCACAATGAAGTAGGTACTAAAAAAGAGGCTGGTTCCATGAATCTGGCCTAATGGAAATGGCTTGGAAATGTACCTAACCGTACTGGCATAGTGCCCTTTTTCACAAGTGCCACTTAGTGTAGTGTCGGTACGGTCAGTGTCGGAACGGGTCAGTTCGGGTGCTTTTCCATTGACATTCCAGTCTGGTTCCAGTGGGTGTGCTTTGGGCGGTTGGTGGAGGTGGTTTTTCGAAAAAAAAAAGGGTAAATGAGAGATGGAAACACCTTTGCCGAATAAGTTCTGAAATTTAAAAAATTTGCTAAAAATTCAAATTAAAATTGAATGGAAACACGACTAATGTCGCTGCTAGAATTGAAAAAATGGTGCCTCAATTTGTTGCAAAGGCAGCTCAGACGCAACCAATGACTCCATCCTCTAACCAATCAGTTACGAACAGTGTTCTGACGTTGCAATTTGGTGTCGACTGGGACTGCTTGGAACCACAACGAAGTAGGTACTAAAAAAAGGGCTGGTTCCATGAATCTGGCCTAATGGAAATGGCTTGGAAACATACCTAACCGTACCGACATAGTGCCCTTTTCCACTAGTGCCACTTAGTGCCAATATGGTTCGGTACGGTTCCATGTCATTTCCATTAGGCTAGATTCATGGAACCAGCCCTTTTTTTAGTATCTACTTCGTTGTGTTCCAAATGGTCCCAGTCGACACCAAAATGCGACATCAGAACACTATTCCTCACTGATTGGCTAGGGTGTGGAGTCACTGGTTGTGTCAAAGCTGCCTTTACAACAACAACTCGTGGCACCATTTTTTCAACTGTAGCAGTGACATTAGTCGTGTTTCCATTCAATTTTATTTGTTTCAATCTTTCATTTTGCCCGTTAACGTTTTTTGAAAAACCCCAAAACCACCTCCACCAACCGCCCAAAACACACCCACTGGAACCAGACTGGAACGTCAATGGAAAACACTGACCGTACCGACACAGGCACTAGTGGAAAAGGGCAATTTAAGAGGCACTGTTTATGTACTTGTGACTTCAATAAACATCTCATATTTAGCTTTGTGCAACATGTTATAGTGGCAAATTATAATAAAATCCTTCACGGCAGATGTCTTTAAGTGAGCTAAACACATACATAAATCTACCTGTTGTAATTCTGGATTAGCCTGGGGCCCTTTTTTAAAAAAACAATAGCAGTTTAAAGTTTTATAAAACAATGTTTGCGTTGATCAATAAGAAATTATTGAGACTAGAGTTGTCTTGGCCATTCTTGAACAAGCCTTTAGCTCAAACCCAGGTCAATCAATAAGCTCTCTACAGGTAAGATATTGTTTAAAACCTTTTCACAGAACCCCTCTTTAAAAGGTCAGGACTATTCCTTTAAACGTGAAAAACTCAGCTTCATGCACGTTTAAAGAGGACACTCTGCTTAACGACGTACGGTACCTCGGTCTTGTTAGACTCGTGTAAAGTGGGCAGCACATCGTCCACGCTGCGAATCAGATCTCTTAAGGCCATCCCGACAGACTGCAGGCAGAAATCAAAACAGAAAATTAATCTGAGGTAACTCGGGTAGTTTGTCTTTGCATTTTAAAATTGCCAACAAAGCAGTTCCAGGGCTATGAAGTAGAAATAAATGGAAGGGAACTTGTCTCAGCGCACCTTGACAATGGTGATATATTGTTCCGGTTGCAGCTCAGTGATGTCGTTCTTGAGCTGAACAACAACTTTGACCAGGTCCATGACGGTGTCGTAGACTTTGTCATCGGTGCGGTCCAGCTCAGCCGTGGGTGCAGCCTATGCAGAATTTAGTTACGCGAAATAGTGAAACCTACTAAAACTTATATTTTATACGTTTGGGTAGTTTATAAAACCACAGAAACAAAGTTGATCTT